AACCACCCTTAGATCGTTCTAGTTAAAAGAAGTTCATACCTATTACAGTATTTCCATTGCTTCGGAGCATCTGTGCATGTTCACTTATGAACTCTGCAAAGTAACTGAATAGTGGAAAATTGCCACACTTCCTTTTATATGCTGCTACTCTTTCACTCCACTTGTTAATCAGGGTATTAGGAAGTTTCTCAATGATTGGATTTATCCCGTGAGGAGTATTCAAGAACGTTGAGTGTGGCACGTCTGACAGCTGCTCCACTGTATCTTCACATCTATATGCCAAATCTTCCAGTTTCAGGATATCGTCTGCACTAAATTTTGGCAATGAACTGAGGTTTTTTATCACATTCAAATGCTCTTCTCCAAGACAAAAACAAAATGGGATCACCATGGTCCCTGGATTGGCAACCTCTGACGAGCCAAAATTTTCACACACTCAGCATTGGTAGAGACAAATGGTGGGGCATTAGTATTGAAAGCTGGTTTCACCGATTCCTGGGCTACTTCTGGTTTGGTTGGCGATTCAGGCGGATCAGTTCTGGGAATCGCTGCTTCCCTGGTTAATTCTGAATGGACTGGTTATTCAGGCTGCTCTATCATGGGAATCTCTGCCAGATACTCTTCGACACGTTGGTTGGACATCTCGCTTGGTAAAGACTCCAACACATCACTTCTCTCTTCAGATAGGGCTTGAATCACCTTAGTACGAACCTCTGCAGCTGCCATGGCTTCTTCCCTGAGGATTTTCTCCAATGCGAGGTCTGCATCTAACCTTTTACTTTGCTCCTCGGCTCTTTTCGCAGCAAAGGCTTCATGGGCTCTTTGTACAGCTAGGTCAGCTCTTGCAAAGATCTAGTTGATGACTTAGAAGTATACTGTATATAAATCTGTTAAATTACAATTCACAAGTAGCTGTTTCCTGTATCTAGAGTATCCAGCTGTAAAAAGTATCCAACTACCACAGTCTCAACACACACACGTGTGTGGACGTACGTTCTGTCTTACTGGACTCAGCCCCGCGATACATGTTGCCAACTACTTATATTACCATATAGGCATGACAGTTATGTTCAAGTAAGGCTTATAGGCTTGGAACGGAACAGGTCATGCAATGCCCTGTCTGGGCAATGCTTTATAAACTGGCTGATAAGCTCCAATTTCTCGTCAACCACCCTCCCGCCATTTCAACGCAAGACTTTGTTAGCATGGGTAATTAGTCTAACGAGCCTGCTCAAAAACTCGAGAGTTGGCTCCCGCACTAAAGGTCGACACTCCTAAAACTCGTGTAAAGGCGTGTCAGAGAATACATCCTCACTAAGATTTCGTCTTAGTAAATCAAAAATTACATCTGGATCATTTGCCTCCCTAAGGCTCTTGAACCTCAATCCTACTCTTGGCTTTTCCCAGAAAAAGGATAAGGATTTCGTCTGGCCTCTCTTCTGGGTTCACACCCTTCTGCTTTAGGTAAGCACAGGTCTGGTCTTCCCAATCATTAAAAGATAATTTGTCAGATGGCCCACGAAAGATTGACGGCTGCTTAACCTCTTGCCTAACAATGAGCAGTATGAGCAATCAACCGAGGGACGGCTGGAGACTCTACCATCTAAGCACCCCGGGTTGGACGGGGGAACTGAATGTGGCCGCCAAAGAAGACCTCGACCAATTGCCTTAAATAATAATGAAAAGTAAATATAACTATAATATAATGAGTGCAAAATATAATGCTCGTCAACAATATCAAATTATCAAGACAAAATTGTTCTTTAAAAAAAAAATGTGAGATCTCGCAAGAAAAATTATATCAAAGTTAATCATACAGTATGACTCAAGTGAATATATAACACATTTGTGGTACAATTAACACTAGCCTATATTGCAGTGACCTCAATTCCTGGGATGTAGGGAAAAATGGCCCCGGTAATAATGGCCCCAAATGACAAGTGGGTAAAAATGGCCCCAATGAAAAAATTCAGTAATAGAAATGACTTTTAATCTTAAAATCAAATATTTAAATACTGTAAAATAGCAAGTATTGAATCAATAAAATTCAATAAAAAATAAATTTTAAATGCTGTAAAATACCCTGTAGCAAAAATTGAATTAATAATCAACGGAAACCATATGCATATTTGAAAACTAAAATAACTTAGTTTTTAGCTGATTGATTAATTAATAGATCATTTTTGTATGGGCGGCTGTTAGTGCTAAGTATTTATTATTATTATTATTATTCTCTTTTTCTTTTTAAAAAAAAAAAAAATACTAATTTGATGTTCATATCAACCCATTTTTGCGGGGTTTATTAGCACTACCCGGATTGAAATTCTGGAAAATTGTGATTCCACCGTGAAATTGGCCACAAATAAATTATTTTAGTATTAATAAATACATGATTTATATTGATTTATTGATTAAATTGTTGCTATTTTTTAACATTTAAATGGAAAAAAAAAAAATAAAAAGTGTTATTCATTGCTTACTTATTTTATCTTTGAATATGTATATTCCTGCAAAAAGTAAATTATAAATGGCTATTTATTTGATTTTAGATTTCTTTTTAAAAACTAAATTATTTTAGTTTTAAGAAAATGCATATAATGATTTAAAAAAAAATCATTTTATTATTGGGGGCCATTTTTACCTACCTGTCATTTGGGGCCATTTTGACAGGGGCCATTTTTACCATACACCCGATTCCTATACCTTACTTGGAATGTCAAAAATAAACAGAGTATTACTACTTGAGTCATAATGCTAACCACATAAAAAGTTTAAAATTTAATACTGACAATAAAAAACGGTCAAGTTATATAATGATAGATGACATAAAAACTTCAGGTCGTTGCGTTTTACATTTGCTGAGCTTTTCTTGTCAAGCGAATGAAGACGTCGCGTACTGTTTTGCGCTCAGTCCCTAGATTTTTGAGTTTTGAAACTATTATTGCTGCAGTGATTCGTGTGTACCCGAGGTCTCTCATCCTCACAGCCATCTTTTCGTGGACTATTGCCTTGTGTCTACATAACTTGTCTTCAAGTTTTTCCGAAATCTCTGGCTTCTCCGTATGTCGATTAGATCACACTCCTCTTTGTAGGTCCAGCAATACCTAATTCTTTGGCGATCGGCAGCCATAATGATGATTCTCAAACCAAAAAAATAAACCCTTAATACAACACAACCTTCTCGCTACGGAAACAACAATCGAGAAGTCACTTAACAATAAGTGACTTAAGCCTTTATCTAGCTATAATTGACTGGTTCACGTCAAACTTTTAACTAGTTAAGTGGATCTATATCCAGATAAAAGTTCGACATGAACCAGGCTTATGAGGCCAAGTTGTATACACCCTTAAATTTTTCCTCACGGTATTACGTAATGCTCAATAAATAATAATTGATAACAGATCACATGTAAAAAGATACTCACATACCAGACTGGGAATATATTAATATATATTACACAAAGAACAAGCATGGCTAAAAATGGAGTCGAATAGCTTAGTGGTATATTGAGATGCTTGCCTTTTAATCCCAGGGTCTTAGGTTGAATACCTGTGGGAGCAGGACTTTTTCTCAAGACCAAAAACTCCACTCCCTAAGACTCATAAACAGACTACACTGATAAAAGCAGGATACGCTGGAGGAAGGGTAATCCTCTACAAATATGGTTAAACAAAATCATTATGGTTTACTATCATGTACTTTGTACTTACAAGTAGCTCATGTTGGATAGAATGCACTTATTTGAGTTGTTAAAAATTGTCATTTTCCTTCCAGAATAATTCATCTGAAAAGCTAGCTAAGCCAGTGCTGTACATGGGAGAGTTCCTAAAGCCAGGCCGGGGCAGGGAAGTGACAGTACTAGATGTGTGCAATGGGACCACCGAACATATCAGCTTAAAGCCTGTCTCTTATACACATCTAGATGTGTATAAGAGACAGGAACTTAATGGAAGAAATTTGTCTAGCCTCTCAGTAAAATATCCTGCTGATAAGTATGAGTATTACTACTTGAGTCATAATGCTAACCACATAAAAAGTTTAAAATTTAATACTGACAATAAAAAACGGTCAAGTTATATAATGATAGATGACATAAAAACTTCAGGTCGTCGCGTTTTACTTTTGCTGAGCTTTTCTTGTCAAGCGAATGAAGACGTCGCGTACTGTTTTGCGCTCAGTCCCTAGATTTTTGAGTTTTTAAACTATTATTGCTGCAGTGATTCGTGTGTACCCGAGGTCTCTCATCCTCACAGCCATGACCAGGGGTCAGATTTCACCGACGATAGCAAAGTGGGCATGGTCGAGCTTTGATTAGAAGGTTCCGAAAGTGGTCCGGGGGGGGGAGGCGAATCCCCAAAGATTTAGACAATTTAGGGGTTTCAAAGGCTTACTTAATCGATTTTATAGTAGGCTTACTTAATCGATTATATGTAGAAAATACATATAATTTGTTTTTCTCCCCAACGAATTGAGCTTTTACTCCTTGACGGGGGGGGGGGGGGTAATAATGGTTTTGTATACTTAAAGACCTGAAGGAATGGATACAACAATAGCTTAGGCTAACTTGACTCCATGCACTTTATTCTACCCACCATTCGGGCAACTTGCCAATAATCAAATAGCCACCGATAGATGGCTGTGTAACTTATAGTGGCTCAGACATTACATCTCTCCTTTTCTTTAAAATTGAGCAAACCATTTTCATGTTTGACTGTTAACAATATAAAACTTTAACATCATAAAACACTTTTAAAAAAACTGTCATGCATTTAACCTGCTCTTTAGATTAGCTCAGAATGTTAATATTGACAATTACTGATTATTTATTTACGGTATGATTATTTATAGAATAATATTAGGCCTATGATTATTTATGACATAGAGTGTTTATCTATAGCATATGGTGTAGTATGATTATTTGCTGTTATTAAAGTCGGTATATTTATCCGATGAAAGAAATGAGTTCAGTGGTTTTAATTGATTGTTATAAAATACAACATTAACATTGTTCCTTAAGTTTCTGGGAGCAATTTCTTGATCTTTTCGCTTTTGCAATACCAGGGTTATTTGGACTTTGCTCAACTACTTCATGTGCCATTTGCCTTTCTGTTTCTGTTTGTAACTGCTTAGCATGTGCACTATTACGCGTGATTTTATGTCCTTGTCTCTCAGCGGTTATCATTGAACCCTTCATGTTTGTTATTGTATATGGTAGAGGTTTGTATGGCGTTATTAATTTTCCTTGCTCTGCAGTGTTTTTGAGTATGATTGTGTTGCCTTCTTTTAACTGTGATGGCTTTGTTCTGCGTTTCATATCTGCGTTTTCCTTCATTTTTTCCTTAGATTTTCGATCTGCTGCTTCTATAGCATCAGACTGTACTGTGTCGCTTATGTGAGGCAAGGTTGTGTTTTTTTTCCTTTCAAACAAAATTGTAGCCGGTGCAGCTTTTGTCGTGCAATGTGACGTAGCTCTGTTATTTCTCAAAAATTGCCATAGGTCTTGTTTCCAAGGCCAAGCGTTAGTTTGGGAGGTACGAACTGCTTTCTTTATTGTTCGCATAAACCTTTCGGCCTCTCCATTAGCTTCTGGGCAATATGGCTTAATGCGTCGATGTCGGAAGCCTAATAAAAAATCATCACTGTTGAACGGAGATCCATTGTCATTTTTGACTTCTGGGATTCCGTAGATTGCAAAAACCTTGTCTAATATTGGTATTGTTGCTCGTGCTGATATTGATTTTAAAATTTCAACCACTGGAAAACGAGAATAATCATCAACAATGACTAAAAGATGATCACCGGACAGAAAAGGCCCACAGAAATCTATGCTGACCTTTTGCCAGGGATAATCAGGGAGTGGTGACATTTGTAATGGTTCGCGTTTGTTTTGGGAAACTGCGGCTTGACACGCTAAACAGTAACTGCATGTTCCGCTTCCTTATCAATTCCAGGAAACCAAACTTTCTCACGTAATAGGGATTTGGTTTTCACAACACCCTGATGGTCTCCATGTACACAGCCATACCCAATAAACTTCGCACTTCATGTACACTCTGTGGAGTGGGAGCTTTGTGTAATGCCTTAACTTTCTTTGGGTCAGGAGATACACCTGCTTCGCTAAATACTAAACCAAAGAATTTGAGTTTACTTTTGCTGAATTCACACTTTCCTTTAGCTAGCGTCAAACCATTTTGCTCTAATCGTTTCAACACTGCTCTTAGTCTTTCATCATGTTCCTTTTGTGTTGCTGCGTGCGCTAAGATATCATCAGAAACATTTAGTGTTCCCTGAATGCCTTCCAGCACTTGGCGAATGGTGTTTTGAAAAACCTCTGAGGCGGATGAAATTCCAAAATTCAGAAATATTAGAAACCGCTATATCGATCGAAACCGTATGGTTCTGTGGAGTAGCCTGTACACTAACAACGGTTTGTTTGCACTGTATTTCTTTTCTCCAGTAAACGTCGCAAATATGGGTCTAGTTGGTACATGGAGTTATTATTTAAATCAAAATAATTATAACTCCATGGCTGGTATCGATAATACTAACTGGTGTTTATTTCATGATTAGTCAGTTCTATATACTGTATTGATGTTAGCTTTCGAATAAAGGTATTATTGTCTGGAAATCCTGGCATAATAAGTTGGGTCTTAATTTGCGGGGTCTGATATTTCGAGTGGGTCTGATATCTTGTGGTCTTAGGTCTTAGCTTTCGTGGTCTGAGCTTTTGGGACACCCTCTTGGATTGCGAGATCTGGATTTGCTTTGACAGCATCATCAGCCATCCTCTTCAGTGTTCCTCCAAGGCTGTCGCAGGGGCCTTTGCCATGGCCCGCCTCCCAGTAGTTCATCGTCGCTGTAATGTGATACGGTGCTTGGTGCAGGCTAACCCAATTAAAGATGGCTTTATTACGATATTGCGAAGTGGGACTATCGGTCCAATAGTAAATTTTTCTCAGACTAGGCTGTGTAACTTTCAGCAAAGGAATAACTTTTTCCATAATGCACATTACAGTGTTCACGTTGTGTGCCATCTCGTTAGAGATAACTACGAAACTCTTGGCACATTTGGTCTCCATCCCGGTAATAATGTACAATAGGGTGAAGAGTGACCCAGTTTGGTTCCAATAGGCCGACTGTACTTCAGTAATTCAGTGGCTTGCACACGTAGTTTTTGGCGAAGTCCATCTGAAGGATTGCCTCATTCTCAGGAAGGTTGGTCTTCAGACTTTTCATTGCACTGAAGTGTGCACGAATACGAGTGGTATGCAGTCGAAAGGCTGAACTTTCTCGCGTTACGTGTTCTATAAAACCCTTGCGGCTAAGGCAAACATTTGTAACTACTTTTAGCTTCACAGGTAGTCCTTCACTTTTCATAGTCGACATCAGCATAGCCATATTTTGATGTTTGATACGTAGGCAGATATTCCGACTTGCAAAGTTGACTGTGCAAATGTTCGGAGGACGAATTCTACAGAATGACGACACAGATCTTTAGGCCAATGTTTTCTGATGTAAATTTTGCGTGTACAGTAGGTTCCTGAGGTAGTCTGTGAGCATGAAACGTTGCATCCTTCTCATCTTTGTCAGTGTCTCTTTTCCCTGGCATAGTTCTGGAGTTGTCCTCGCGCTGTAGGAATTTTATTACTTCAGAATGCACACGATAGTTAGAGAATTGTATCTGGATTGACGTTTTGTAAGGCTCTTCCCCTTGACATTTGCCAATCCTCGGCGGCACAGACAGTGGGCGTAGACTGCCCCCCCCCAGACGGATTTTACCGGGCTGGCCAAGCTGTAGTACCGGGCTGGGTAAGAAGAGAAAAGAAAGCGGGGAGAATGAGGGAAAAGAGAAAGAACACTGTAAAAAAATTCTCTGTAAATTTACAGCAAATGTGCAGGCAGCAGAGTTGCCATCACAT